CAAAACAACTGTCTTGCCTACGTATTCAAAGTTATTTATTAAACATATTAACTAAAATTCAAAGGCCCCTTATTCATCTTTTATGGTCTGTTCAGTATCTTCAAGCTACGCTCAGAGGGTCATCATCATGCATTGGCCTGCTTTGAAGTGCCAGCTTTTTTTGTCCAGAATGTGGCCAGTTAGGGTTCATTTCCCTGAGTGAGTTGCGGCAGAAGTGGGCCTCTGACGTCTTCACCGACGCCGATGTTCGGGGCCCGAAGCAACCCGGAGTATTCCGCTTTCAGCATCTCACACACTATCCCATATCCGTCTTGATTTTATCTCGCACTTGATTGAGAAGAATATGAGTGAATCATCGTGAAATTTACAAGATGAGAATTCCATGATACACTAGATTACCAACGCATACCCAACACACAAACTCAATGCATCATGTGCTGAAGCGAATGGGTATTTTCGGCTTTTTACCGGCGACTTCTTTCACATCCACCTCAACCAAGCAGAACATCTTCATCTCCATCGCCAGCCGCCGGCGACGACACCTCTCTGCAATGGCGTCAAGGACTTACAATGTAAGCCGCCACCCCCAATCTGACACTATAATTCGTTAACCAGTGAGAAAAGGACGCAATCGACACCCTTAACACCCTCCAAACCCCTTTCGCTGTCATTGAAGCTCGCAGAAAAGCAGGCATTCGCCCCGATGCGAATTCTGTACAAGAAATGGGAGGCTACCTGGCCAGAATAGGTTACTCAACATCATCTGACCTCAGGAAGCTCAATATCGTTCACGTTGCCGGTACCAAGGGGAAAGGAAGCACATGTGCTTTTGTCGATTCCATCTTGTCAAAATGGCACCAGACGAAAGGAATCCCAAAGAAAGTGGGATTGTTCACCAGCCCGCATTTGATAGCAGTCCGCGAAAGGATACGGATCAACTCTCGGCCGATTTCTGAGGAGATGTTTGCAAAGTATTTCTTTGAAGTCTGGGATAGGCTAGAGAGCAACAGCACAGTGGCAACTGATCTCGTTGAGGCCGGTACGAAACCGATCTACGCACGGTACCTAACGCTCATGAGCTATCATGTCTACCTGTCGGAAGGCGTTGATGTCGCTATCTATGAGACAGGAATAGGGGGCGAGTATGATGCTACGAATGTGGTGGAACAGCCTGTCGTGAGCGGCATTAGCACACTGGGAATTGACCACATCTATGTACTAGGGGATACCATTGACAAGATTGCGTGGCATAAGGCAGGAATTTTGAAGAAAGGGAGCCCCGGTTTTACCGTTGAGCAAGTTGGTTCTGCCGCGGAGGTGCTCAAGAAGAGAGCGGAGGAAAAGGGCGTCGATCTGAAGGTTCTTGGGGTCGACCAGAGGTTGAAAGGCGTCAAGGTCAGGCCCGACGCCAATTTTCAGAAGAAGAATGCCACTCTCGCGATTGCTTTGGCAGAGACGGCGTTGAAAAAACTGGATCAAGATTTCAAACGGGATGAAACGGCGTTGCCAAGGGCGTTTGTTGAGGGGGTAGAGCAGGTTGTTTGGAGGGGACGGTGTGAGGTCAAACAGGAGGACAACATCATCTGGCACGTGGATGGCGCGCACACCGTCGATAGCCTGAAGATGGCGGCTAGGTGGTTCGTTGAGGAGACCAAATCTGAGGGCAAAGGTACAAAGGTCTTGGTCTTCAACCAACAAGGGCGGAGCGAAGCGGTCGACTTTCTGGATGGATTATGCAATACTGTGAAGAATTCTGACCCTGCTGGTCAAGGGTTTCAGCATGTCATCTTCTGTACCAACGTCACATATGCCACGACAGGCTATAAGAGAGGTACGAATGCATTTTCTCACCACTTTGGACAAACATCATGGCTAACCTCAACTAGATTTCGTAAACCACCAGTACAACCCAGCCGATATTGAGAACATGACCCAGCAACGCATCTTTGCCGAGAAATGGGTATCTCTCGATCCAACCGCCAAGATCCTAGTGATTCCTAGCATCGAGGAAGCTATCAACACTGCTAGGGGTTTGGCAGATACTGATGGAAAGGACGGTAGCAAGGTGCAGGTACTCATCACAGGCAGCTTACATCTCGTTGGCGGAGCATTGGGAATTCTAGAGAAGGCTGATGCTCTTTAACATTGACTACAACCAACCTGGTGATGGAGAAAGAGAGTCAGACTGGTCTTTTATTGCGGACTTTGCCTCGGACATTAGATATACCCTGTTATTCAACTTTATAGCTTCGGGCTTCACAGTGTGGCATAATGAATCAAAGATCACCGTGAGGCGGAGGCCTCTCATGATTTCGAAGCACTTCACGGTTTCAAATATGGGATGGTTATCTAAGCAGGTTTTCACAGCCTTACCACCGTATAACAGGACATTCATTGCCGAAGTCGGTGTCGCAGGAATTGGCTATTGGTTACTTTTTGGGGAAAGAAAGTCAAAATATGTGACAGCTGGCCATTCTCACTCCATATCTAGCCAATAATAGAGTTTCAGAAAACTGCACTGGCATCAAGATAACTGCCATGCCCGAAGGGACCACGTTGCCCCAACTTCAGGCTGTGGCTTAAATTAGATCCTGAAGTCGTTGTTAGGACGGGAGGTTCACAAAACAATGACAAACAGATGCCCGTGATGGAAACAGAGGCTGTTGTGCTACTCGACGACACCCAACTTGGTCATTCTGGGCTTGTTTCCCGCCGCTCGCTATTGAATTACTCCAAGGAGATACAGGCCTGCTTCTTTGGTGGGAGATATCTTTGCAGCCACCCATATATGTAGGAATCAGTGATCCCCGAGCGCTTTTAGTGCTGGTAATTGAACCCTCCAATAGACTGGGCCATAAAATTAGTTGCTTAATGTGAGTGGTCTGGGTCCCAACGATCGTCGGTTTAAATATATCATTTCCAAGCAGATAGTCATTCCTGATACGTTTTACCTTAAACACTTCCATCCGCATCTTGGATAGTTTGGGTTCGTACTCTTCAAAGGCTCCGTTGTACATACCTGAGGCATATGAGGTTACGATTGATGTCTATCTGGCTATGGAGACACGTCTTCTCTACCTAGGTAGATCTGAAAAGGCCGACCAGTGACGCAAATATACCTAGGTATCAAGGACTACAAAATACGCCCGTTGCAAAGTTAAGAATGCCTGCTTGAAGTCTCAAGACAGTGTGGTTGAAACTTACATACCCTGGTTGGAGAGATGTATACAGTGGTTGGAAATGAAAGTAGGCCGTTGAGAAACGTTAATAAACCTCTTCTGAAACCCAATACGCCTTTTCAACTGATTACCAGATAAATATATCTCATCATTCTTACTCGCTTAGGATTTACATAAATGCTTTCTCGTCGCTAAATTCCTTAACAGCCCAAGAACTGACTCCGTAAAACTCGGCTATCCCTTGAAGGTCTGCCTTGTCTGATGGACTAAATCACCTGTCAGGCCACGTTGTCTTCACCTGCATGGCTTGTGGATCCCACTCGCACCAAAGTCGACGTATCCAAAGATTGCCATCCGATGGTAACCTATAAAATCACACCGTGAGCTTCATATCCTGCATATTGCGCATGCTTTCCGGTCATCGTGGGACCATCTCTTCTAAATTGGTAGTTTCCACAAATATTCGGTCGTTGCTGAAGAGGTAAACAGCCACAAGCCATGCCCCCGTCAGCTGTGCTTTTGCCAAGTGTTACTGCGAATAAAGCGCACGTCTTGCCCAGCTTCTGTAAGGCCTGCAGCAGCAGCCGTATGTTTTTCTTTTTCAAGGACATCCTGCCTCAGAACAGTATACTAGGTATGCGACCTTGGTGGAGCGCGAGGCAACGGGATAGTTCCGCAACTTAGCAAGTGATTCCAGTCCTGACACTTTGCCCACCAGCGATGACGGCTTTGCTAAAAGGCAGCTAACCACGATTTTCTAGGGTGCTTCTTCCGGCTGAAGGCTCGGAGTGGTGTGAGATGAGTGAACCAGGTGCTGAAAGTCTCGAGCAGGTGGCATGTTTGATCGGGAGTTCTATTCATGGCGACTGCGGTGGTAGATGGCTTTATTCATCATGTTCCAAATTCGGCAGGGGAAAGATGTGAGCCACAGCCGGCGGCGCATTGCGTTGTTCTCAGCATCCTCCTCGAGCTGAGCGCGAATATTGGTGAGTTCTGGAGCGGCGTGATGGAGCTTTAGCTTGCCTGCAGGCTTGTACAATCCTGGCATCTTTCCTGTTGAGTTCCCCGTTGTTGGTTTCTCCATTGTTGATAACCGAAGACGGTTGTATAGAGAATGCTGGGGCGAAAGTCGGGATTGAAAAATGACGAGAAGGAATCAGATACGCAGAAACGCACAGATATGGCTTAAATACCTTGAACTGGGCGTCTGTCTCAAAGTTTCTCCAGCCCCTCGACAAACCTGTATGAGGACGTCAACTTTAAAAAAACAAAAGAGGCATAAGGCTTATCCTAGCCCAGCCTCGCAATTCACCCGCACTGTTTTTGTCACACTATGGGTAAGAATACAGGCGCTGAAAGTCGCCAGTCAACGCACGCAAGAATATGCCGATTTTTCCATAAGAGGGTCGACATGCATTTAAACATGGTAAATTAAGGCCTGAAAATATATTCTACAAGGGTCGAAAGATAGTCCACGGGCTTTGAAAGAGACCTAAGAGGCCTTTTAAAACTGCTAAATATGTCTCAATACACAGGTCGAAAGGTAGACGTGCTGTCTTGTGTGTCTTCCTACCTAGGTAGGTTTCACAGCGCGACATCCTGTTTGCGCAGGTACAGATCGATAGTCATGCTGGCCGCGATATGGTATTCTGGATGTCACAGGGCATGGTGCCACCGATAACACTTCGCCGGTCAATAGTTGGGACGCTGCATTACGCCAAGACATCTGGAATAGGGGGCCCCTTTTCGCATTGTATGCAAATGTAGCTTGGAGATACAGATATTAGGGCTCATTGACAAAATCAGTGAACATATCAGCATGGTGAGATGGCCGAGCGGTCTAAGGCGCCAGGTTCAGGTCCACCTGAATTTCCATACTGCACAGTATTTCCTGGTCTCGAAAGGGGCGTGGGTTCGAATCCCACTCTCATCATCCTTTTACTGTTTTGCACCTGATTTACTCTTGTTCTTTTTGAATCATGTTGTTCTCTCCTGCAACAGTACGCAACACTTAGAATATGGCTTCAACTTGGCTCCCTTGCGAAGTTACAATCACTCTCGACACCGGGCTGTTTACACATCGTAAAACTGATATCGTTCCGAGATCGCAGTTCAACTGCCGCGCTCAGCGGTATAATAGATAGGGGTTACCTTATTTAGGTATCAGCTGCCATCTGCCATCGAAGGCAGTGGTGCAGTAGCGAATGCATCTCGATCACGCGCAAACGAACGCACACCACCCTCGAGCCGCACTTGCATTGGAGATTCCGTTGCAGCGGCATATCAAATCCTCTACCCTCCCACGAACCAGGCTTGAAGCACTCGATCAGCCCACAATGCCCTCATGGTGCTTTCTCATCCCAGTCCACCCAGTCGCTCGGGCGCCCGAGTCCAACCCTGCGGTAATCCAACAAAAACAACTTCAGCCGACTTTAACCATTCTCCTTTTTTGTTTTATCCTGAGAAGTCTCTGACTCTCAGCTGACATCTGGTCCAGGTTTGACAGCGCTGCATCAGGCACCAGAAGGCGTGAAAAGATGATATCCCCTCGCAGAAGCGGATACCGCCGGAAATGCGCTCCGATTTTGATTGGAGCGGGTAAAATAGCTGGATAAATGTCGAGCATTTCGTGGGGTTCACTGATGGTGGGGTCTTATGCTTCAAGCTCTCCCAAAGCTCTCTCCTTTGCCTGCAACACCAAAAAAAAAAACCAAGACGTGCTGTGTAAATCCATGGAACCCATGGCGTAATGCCCGCCTTGCGGTGGGGGTCTGCTCTCCAGCATGGCTTCGAGCCCAATCTTCCAGATCACCGAAATTGTCACACTCGTGGTCACCGGTCAGGTACACGCGCATAGAGGAGCTCCCATGGAGGAGAAGCTCCCCGCACCTCGCCCCCCTCCATCCAGTTCATCCATCCACATCCAATCCGTTCAAGCTCCCCTGCGCTGCGGTCCTCCTGGTAGGTTCTGGCCTCTGGGATATCTCCGAGAAGCGGGTTTGTCTTCTTGCTGGGGGACTGAATTGGCTCCTGAGTCGGGGTGTCTTCACTTGGCTTTCGTATATATTCATGTGCACTGGTGCCCCTTTCCGTCTTCCTCTCCCTCGTCATCCTTTTCCTCGAGAGCTCCCTGTTGTCCAGAATTGCAAACAAGCGCTGATACCCCATTGCCTCTCCTTACTGTCTCTATCTCACAGCTCTTGTACAACCCTCCCACTGCCACGATGTCTTCCGTAAGTTCCGTCATAGCTCTCGCTTTAGCAACTACTCCCCAACGACGCAAGCTAACTGTCACCAAACAGAACCTTTCTTTCGTCCTCAACAAGCCCAATGACGTATCATTCGAGGAGCGCCCAATTCCCAAGCTCAAGTCCCCTCACGATGTTCTCGTCGCCGTCAACTACACCGGCATCTGCGGCTCCGATGTCCACTACTGGCTCCACGGCGCCATCGGTCACTTCGTCGTGAAGGACCCCATGGTCCTCGGCCACGAGTCTGCCGGCACCGTCGTTGAGATTGGCTCCGAAGTTACAGACCTCAAGAAGGGCGACCGTGTTGCCCTCGAGCCCGGCTACCCCTGCCGCCGCTGTTCTGACTGCCTCTCCGGCCGTTACAACCTCTGCCACGAGATGGTCTTTGCGGCCACCCCGCCCTATGACGGAACCCTGACCGGTTTCTGGGCTGCACCCCACGACTTCTGCTACAAGCTCCCCGAAAACGTCTCGCTCCAGGAGGGCGCCCTCATCGAGCCCCTCGCAGTCGCTGTGCACATCGTCAAGCAGGCCCGCATCCAGCCCGGCAACAGCGTCGTCGTCATGGGTGCTGGCCCCGTCGGTCTCCTCTGCGCCGCCGTCGCCGGCTCCTTTGGAGCCACCAAGATCGTCCAGGTCGACATTGTCCAGTCGAAGCTGGACTTTGCCAAGTCCTTCGCCGCCACCCACACCTACCTCTCCCAGCGGGTGTCCCCTGAAGAGAACGCCAAGAACCTCATCGCTGCCGCTGAGCTCGGCAAGGGCGCTGATGTCGTCATTGACGCCTCCGGTGCTGAGCCTAGCATTCAGACTTCGCTCCACGTTGTCCGGATGGGTGGCACTTATGTCCAGGGCGGCATGGGCAAGTCCGACATCAACTTCCCCATCATGGCACTCTGCCTGAAGGAGGTTACTGCCCGTGGATCTTTCCGTTACGGCAGCGGTGACTACAAGCTCGCTATCGAGCTTGTGGCTGCCGGCAAAGTCGACGTCAAGAAGCTGGTGAACGGCGTCGTTGCTTTCAAGGATGCCGAGTCGGCGTTCAAGAAGGTAAAGGAGGGCGAGGTGATCAAGATTCTGATTGCTGGTCCCAACGAGAAGGTCGAGAGCGAGCTTGACACCTCTGTTGATGCTGCTAAGCTCGAGGCGGCCAAGGCTTCGGGCAACACTGGCTGCTGCTAAGCCAACTTGAACAAGTCAAAGCTAAAAAAACGGAGAGAAAGAAAAACTTGCATAGTGGGTGTTCATAGGCGCAACGGTTGCATGGGACAAGGGTTTTTTTTTTTTTAGCATATATCATGAGCTTATTTTATTCGACGTCTTTGGCAAACATGTAGTATACCTCGAGAGATCTATTAAACAAAGGAAAAACAAACAAATTTAAAAAATGACAAACACCTTTTCGTGACATCGTCCATTTTTTTGTCCCTTATAAAATCCCAGCAAAAAAAAGAGCATAAAGTCTAGATCATGCCCAAATACCTCGTCAAAATCTTGGTCTCCTTCGTTGCCCCCTTGACCGCAATGGAAACCACCTCTCCCGGAACAATATCCACCAAATTATCGTCAAACTTGACCGCATCATCCTCGCACTCCAGCGCCACACCCTTGACGGGGACCTCAGCGCTAATCTCCACAGCCGTCGCATCCGCAGTGAGCACCGCTTTGAGCTCCTTCGGCTTCTGCAGGTGGACATACTTGAGCGGCTCCGGCCAGTTGACATACCGCGCAATCTGCTTGCCATCATTCCGCACGATATACGCCGCCACCACAATCTTATTCTCCTCCCCTTTGCCCTTTTCTTTCACGGGAACATCCAGCGCCGCGACTTCAGTCGACCTATTCTCCGGCAGGACCAATCCCTCGGCAATCTTCTTCTCAAGCGCCAGCTCCCCGGTAGTGACATCCCAAGCCTTGAGCACCACATCCACCGTCAGATCCTCCAGCGTAAGGTTGCTCCCCCAGACCTCAATCTTCGTTTCCGTGTCGATATACACCCTCGTGTACTTATCCTTGGGATGCTTGTGAATTTTGCGCGTGATACCCACTGAAACAGGCGCCATCTCCCGCTTCACCGTGTAAAAAGCGTGCTTTGGCCTGAGATAAAAGTCCACAATCGACCAACTTGTCACCGGCCAGCAGTCGTTGATCTGCCACACCAACGCGCCGGCGTTGTATTCCCTCCCGGGACCCTTCCACTGCCTCTTCCACAGTCTGTACGCGCTGGCAAGACACTCCGCTTGCATCAGCTGAGTGCTGTAGACAAACTGCTCCAGCGGGTCAGGGGCATATCTCATATTCTCCACCAAATACAGCGCGATTCTCCTCTCGTGGCCGTCAGCTTTGTTGTGGAAGTCCACAGTCGAAGACTGGGGGTATCGGTCCGGGTCGTCTTTGCCAAGAGGGAGATAGGCGTCGATAGTCTTGACATCCGGGAAGGCCTGCATACCAAACTCACTGACAAACCGTCCAGACAGCTTGTCAAAATCCTGCCACTTTTCTTGGGTGCCATGCCAGACGTTCCACTGGTGAATATCACCCACTGTTGCGTCATGTGTATCCCTCCCCGCACCCCAAGGACTGCCAGGGTGGTAAAATGTCCCCGGGATCAGCTCTGCGCAGGCGTCACTGAGGATCTTCTCGTAAATGTATCTAGCAGGGAAATCGGTTTGCAGCCAAGACTCCGCGTCCTTGTTCTCAAAGTTGTAAGTCAACCCGGCAGATTCTTGGTACTGGTAGTCTTCATTGTTACCCGCCCAGATGACAATCGAAGGGTGGTGGCGGAGCAACTTGACATTCTCACGGGCCTCACGGTCGATAGACTTCCTCAGCTCAGGCCAGGCAGGGTAGTTGCCGCAGCCAAACATGAAATCCTGCCAGACAAGAACGCCAAGCTCGTCGCAGGCGTCGTAGAAGGCTTGTTCCTCGTAGATGCCACCGCCCCAGACTCGGACCATGAACTGGTTGCCATCGCGGATGAGAGAAATCCATTCGTAGTATTTTTGGGCTGTGATGCGGGGAATAAAGTTGTCGGCGGGGATCCAGTCCGAGCCGCCGCAGTAGATGGGGATGTTGTTGACGCGGAAGAAGAAGGAGGTGCCAGGTTGGTCGAGGAGAGGCTGCTGAACGAGCTCGGCGCGGCGAAGACCGATCCGCTTGGTGATGTTGGCGATTTCATCATCACCACTCAGGAGAGTGGCCTTGAGTGTATAAAGGGGTTGTTCACCATAGCGGAAGGGGTACCAGAGCGAAGGGCTGTCGAGATGGAAGGAGATGGTGACGCTGCCGGAACCATTGGTGTCTGCTGTTTGGGAGGCTACTTCTTCACCGTCGAGCAAGAGTTCAAACTTGACCTTTCCACCTGATCCTTCCACTTCGGCTGTGGCCTTGATATCGGCTGACTTGAGGTCCTCGGAGATGGTGCTCTCGAAACTAAGGTCTGCCAATCGCGTCTCGTAGATTTCGAGGTTGATTGGTCGCCAAGGTCCGCACGTAAGAAGAGCCGGGCCCCAGTCCCATCCCTGTTCCTGAATGTTAGCAAGTTTTCTGTGATAGTCCGTATAGAGAGATCGTACCCAATGATACTGTGCCTTCCTCACAGCCAGTCTTGAATTGTCACCATTCCACACGCCCCACTTGTGCTCAGGGTACTTCTCAACCAGCTTCCAGCCCCTGAGATAGG